GAGTTTTTATTTTGTAAAGTAGACTATCTATTGCAAAAACAGGAAAACTATTAAAAGTTTCAGAAGTTGAATCTAGAACTCCAGTGCATCACACCATGCTGATTCAGATCAGAACCACAAGAGACAGCAAAGAAAGCCCATTCATCACATGATAAATCTGGCTAGAACCCAACCCTGCTTTCCTTAAATGTGAGTTTTTATGCTAACATTAATGGGAGGAGGATCAGTCAGTTTTATTAATGTCAGTTTTGAGACCATCACATCTCTACAGAGAAACAATGAACATTAATAGTTAATGGAGAGAACAGATTCTGTGTGATAAATTGGGAAAATAGAAAACTTTTAAAGAAGAAATTAAAAATGGAAAGCAGATTTTGCTATTAAGTCTTTACTTTTAAACAGAGTTTAATTAAGAATTATTTTATACAAGTTAACTTTGTTTAAAGATACAGAAAAACCATTTGCCAGAATTCCTAGTGCTCTACTAAATAACCTCCCAAAATGTTCCATTTATTGGAGATAAAAATGCTAATTGTGACTATTCTTAGCAGTGTAGTCTATTAGATACTGTTCCTGAAACCTGTTAATATTCTATCTTGGTTTTGAGGTCAGAGTTCAAAGTCTGGGAAAAGGAACAGCTGTATAGACTGCATAGAATGCTCTTCTGTATTCAGACTTTTAACTTGGATTCTTAGGATAATCTGATGATGGCATAATGCCTATCACACAAATACTAGTGTTTCAAGAATTTTCTCTTTTTTTTAAATAGCTATATTGAGACCTGGAAATAGTAGTTATCAATAGAAATTCTACTCAGATGGTACAACACATTCTTCTTTATAACAGTTTTATCAATTCACACTGTCCCTTTAGGGACTTACATTTATATAGTTCCTATCAGATTCATTTTAAGTGAGTTTCTTCCAAAGACACTTCACCAGTCACCCTAACACAACATATACTTAACAGTACACACAAACAATATCCAATAATTTGGGACAGGAAACAAATACTTTATCCAGCGGAGATTTATTTTTTTTAACTTAGCCATAATATAACTATCCGGGTTCAAATCTGGCCAGGATGCAACTTCCCTCCTTTTGCATGACCACAATTAGTAACAGTAATGTTATGCTTTATTTAAAAGACAGCACACCACAAAGAATCATCACGTAAGCATCATGCCCAGGGTACGGGGTTGACAGTAAATCAGGAGTATCCACCTACTGACTCATTAAGAGCACTTCCTGCAGCACACACCCATTTCTGAAATGTTTAGTTTTCCTTGTTTTTCCCCCTGGTTAAGTGGCCTCATGTTCTCTCTGCAGGGCCATGAAGCGTAAATTGGATACTTTTGCCTGTTACAAGTGGGGACTGAAGTCTGCAAAGAAGCTGATGAGGAGCAGCAGCTCAAGATAATCTGCCACCTGCTACCCCCAACTACCAAGGAAGAGAAACCAGGGCCTGAAGGGGTACTGGAGCTTCTCCATAGCTGTAGGATTTGGCCTATGTCCTTCTTCCCCCCCCCCCCCGGCCCATCTTTTAGAAAAGCTCCTTGACTCAGGCTTAATTAATATTTTATATAGCGGCTAATAATACAAACGTTTAAATGGTCCCTTTGTAGGAAGTGCAATTCACAATTCCTTGGGTGTTCACACTTTTGCTGCTACTGTTATTAGGAGAAGAAAGTTTTCCTCAGGGATGAGTTAAAAGGGTAACAGCATGTTATTTTACACAGCATCCCCACAAGAGGAAGGGCTTACAATTTAAAAAAAGAAAGCAAGCTTAGAATTGATGAGAAATTGCAGAATATAGCAAAAATGGTGTGATTTTTAGAGGTCTCCAATTTGCCATTTTTTGTGCCCAAAACTTTCTCCTGTCTAAAACTAATTGTACTAAGGGGATTTTATCTAATCCTGAGTAAACAGTTCACTAGCCAGTTATACTTTTTTTTTCCACTTTAAGGGAGTTGAGTCAGGTACTGTGTCAACTCACTTGGAATAAGTCCATTTATTTGGAGCAGTTCTTGAAGCATTACACTCATGTCCAACTTATGCATTCATGGATCTCCCATTGAGATCTCTGAGAATTCTGCATATGTTGTGAGAACAGAATAAGAGAGGTGAAATCTGCTGGGCAGATCTGAAAAGTATAATTTAGCCTTTAATCTAAAAAGAGATTTAAATACTATGCATTAACAGTGGTTCTCAAACTTTTGCACTGGTGACCCCTTTCACATAGCACGCCTCTGAGTGAGACCCCCTCCCCCTTATAAATTAAGAACACTTTTTATATATTTAACACCATTTTATAAATGCTGGAGGCAAAACGGGGTTTGGGGTGGAGACTGGCTGACAGCTTGTGACCCCCCCTCCCAGGAGCGGTGCCAGGGTTTTTGCCGCCCTACGCGGCAGCGCTTCTCCTCTGAGCATTCAGCGGCGGGTCCCGGAGTGAATGAAGGACCTGCCGCCAAATTTCCGCCGAAGACCGGAGCGGAAGGACCCCTGCCGCGGAATTTCCACCAAGGGCGGCAAAATGCCACCCCCCAAATTCTGCCACCCTAGGTGACCGCCTAGAGTCGCCTAGTGGAAGCGCCGGCCCTGGACCCCCCCCCCATGTAATAACCTCATGACCCTCTGAGCGATCCCGACCCCCAATTTGAGAACCCCTGCATTAGAAAGTGTGTGTGTGTGTGTGTGAGAGAGAGAGTGTGAGTGAGTAAGAATTACTTGCAGTGACAAAAAAACTACACCACTAGTTTGCTATGAATATAATGATGAAACATGGCACACTCATCAATGGAGATGAACAGGCTCAATTTTGCTGGATTAGCACACACCTTAATTTGCTATAAATAATATGTGCCTGGTTTTATGATAGTGTTGTTTCTTAAGTGGTTGAAACAACATGTTTCTATTCTCTCAGGCTCTGACTCAGCAAAACACTGTTGTGCTTAACTTTAACCTTAAAAGTTATCCCATCCTTATTCAGTAAGGTCAAATGGAATAAGTAAAATCTTAAATGCTTTCCTAAATAGGAATGGGATTATTCTCATGTTTAGAATTAAACATGCGCTTAAATTTTTTTCTGAGTTGAGGTCTCAGGGCCTAATCCAAAACCATTTGAAGTCAATGGCCTAAATCACAAGACACTTCTTTAAAATCCACAAACTCTTATCTAAATAAAGCTACTTACATCCTGAATCTCATTAACATTATTTATATATTCTTCCTTATTGTCATATGGATCAGTTATATATACAAATATACACTCTGAGATTTATATTTATAGTACATTCCAGAAATGCATATTTTATGCTTTAAACTACTTTCTGGTTACCTGTCATGTCGGATGATCGGTGTAGGCAGTACACATGTAAGAAGCCATCCAAACTCAGCCAGCGTGTGCAGTAAAGGTCCATAATCTGTTTTAATTTCACATCCCTACATTAATAAACCAATATAAAAACAGTAAATGCACTCTGCAGTTTTACCTTATTTCCGTATATAATGTAACAAATTACAATTGACATTATTATTATTTTATTGCAATAACACCTTGAGGCCAGGGTGTAATTGTGTTAGGCACTATACACCCATATAACAAACAGACAGTCCCGGCCTTAAAGAATTCACAATCTTAGGGTACGTCTTCACTTACCGGAGGGTCCGGTGGCAGGCAATCGATGTTCTGGGATCGATCCCGGAAGTGCTCGCCGTCGACGCCGGTACTCCAGCTCGCCGAGAGGAGTACGCGGCATCGACGGGGGAGCCTTCCTGCCGCGTCTGGACCGCGGTAAGTTCGGACTAAGGTACTTCGAATTCAGCTACGTTATTAACGTAGCTGAATTTGCGTACCTTAGTCCGAAGTGGGGGCTTAGTGGGGACCAGGCCTTAGTGTCAGACTATAGACAACAGGTGGATAAAACAAAGAGATGGGGGTATTAAGTCAGTATATGGGTTTAGGACTAAAGCCCTAATTCTTCAAGACACTTCAGCAAGCACCTTGGGTGCTTAATGTTAGGTATGTACTCGAGTACTTTGTTGACTTGGGGCATAACAGAAAATTTCCAGTTTGATTATAATATTAGAATAATCATTTTTAATGACATTGATTTTTTTAACCTGATTTTTGACTTTGCATTCTGAACAAACATGTCACTGAGTTACTGAGTAAAGCTCAAAGCTAATGATTTTTGCAGGTAAACATTTAAAGGAATAATTATTAGAAAACCTATCAGGATCTAGGAAAATATTATTTTAGGATCCTAAGAATCTGGGACCTATGCAGATGGAAAACTGAACAAGTCAACTTTTAAATGTGCTAATTACTTAGAAACCTATTTTACTATACAATTTTCCCACCTTTTTCCAGCAACAGCTCCTAGCACACATGAATGCTCCCAGCAGGCGAGCAGAAAAATGGCCTTTACCAAATAGGCAACACCAAAAATCGCTGGAATACCCAGGTATAAAAACAATCAACTTTTTTTCTTCCCTGTGTGGTTTCTCCAGGACTGTGTATCAACAATACTTCTTTGTGTAAGTATGCTGCACACTAACTGGCCCATTGTGGATCCTCCTGGAAAGCACTAAAAGTTCCCTAGGTTGCATTAATGTATTACTGTTTGGAGTGGTGCTACTATGGCTTCTTAACAGGGCATCTCAACACAAATAGGTCATTTGGATCAAGAGTTTTTTCCACTTAGCTTGCATCCTTGCTTGCTCTGTAGTACTTATAGGAGGAGATCTGAACACTGTGCACAGTGGACTGGTGCCTGGATCAAAGATTGAATTCCAAAAGATACTACAGTTCCTGAAGGATGGCCTTGAAAAGGGCTAGTTGCCTTCATTTACTTGAATTGTTAAATATTAAATTTATACTAAAAAGCAGCTGATCAGGCTTCAGGACAGCACTGAGTGGGGGAGGAGTGTGGAAATTGGCAGCTTTGACTACAGTGGAAACAGGGAACGAAGTAGAAGAAAAGAGAAGGGCAGTATAACAGTATACAAGGATCTTAGCTTTAGAAACTGAGATTATGTAATTACCAATCAAAACTAGATTACTGATTACAGAATCACAGAAATTAAATATGGAAAACAGATCTAGCCTCTCCCGCCGTCAATGCAAGATTGTTCATGAAAGTATGCTTCCTATTGATTTCTCCAGTCTACTTTTAAATATGTTACGGATGAGGTGCAATATATTCCACAAATGTGATCTTGGAGAGGCCATTTTTTTTATTTTTAAAAGGACAATTTTTAAAAATTGCTTTTTCCTCTTGCTAGGCCTGCAGCGCTAACAGGTTATGACTGCGTGAGCTGCAGATTCTAGTGCAGGGGATGGCAAACTTTTTGGCCTGAGGACTACATCTGGATATGGAAATTGTATGGCGGACCATGAATGTTCACAAAATTGGGGGTTGGAGTGTGGGTGGGGGGGGTGAGGGCTCTGGGGTGGGACCGAGGGGTTCGGAGGGGGAGTATGGGAGGGGGTCGCGGTGCAGGCTCCAGGCGGCGCTTACCTCAAGCAGCTCCCAGAACCAGGAGCATGTCCCCTTTCCAGCTTGTACGCAGAGGCGCGGCCAGGCAGCTCTGCACACTGCCCCGTCCGCAGGTGCCATCCCCACAGCTCCCATTGGCCATGGTTCTCAGCCAATGGGAGCTGCGGGGGAGGCACTTGGGGCGGGGGCAGCATGCAGAGCCCCCTGGCAGCCCCTATGCATAGTAGCCGGAGGGGGGGCATGCTGCTGCTTCCAGGAGCCGCGCGGAGCAGGGCAAGCCCCTAACCCTACTCCTTGGCTGGAGTGGGGCAAGCCCCGGACCCTGCTCCCTGGCAGGAGCTCGAGGGCTGGATTAAAAACATCTGGAGGGCTGTAGTTTGCCCACGCTTATTCTAGTGTATAGGCAGAGCTACTGGAGAGGAGCAGAAGAGTCAGTGAAAATATGTAAAAAGAGCAACAAGGAATAAGGAGGAAAAAAAGGCATGCGTGTGGAATACAGAATATATGAAAAGAAAAAAGAAAACAGGAAGAGAAAAAATGAGGCAAGAGAGAAAGTGGACAGGATAAAAGACACCAGCAATTGTTTCAGGATCTGAAGCAAGTGGTCATCTGTAGAGCTGGTCAGGAATATTCCATTGGAATGACTGTGATATGTAAGCACCTCAAATCTTTTTCTTTGTCTGAAAACTAATGGATTCTCAAACATTTTCTGATGAAAACAAAGCTTTTAAAAAGCTGCAAAAAGCTCTTGTGAGGAAGGGCAACATTTTCAAAAACACTTAAGTGACCTAGGAGTTTGAGTCCTATAGACTGTCAGTAAGATTTAGGCTTCTAAATGCCTAAATTACTTTTAAAAATGGGACTTGGGCTCCAGGGCATTTAGGGCACTTTGGAAAATTTTACCTGAAATCCTTCCTTTGTGCACTACAAACAAATCTAGCTTCCAAAGGAAACATCTAAGTGTTCTGTATTGGAGGCCAAATTCAGACCTCAGTTTAAGCAGGTGCAACTTCACTGATTTCAGTGAAGTTATTCTTGTTTGTACCATGTCTCAATTTTGTGCACTCCGATTGAGTTCAGTGTCCCTACTCACCTGTGTCAAGTTACTCAAGTGCCAAATGTTTGCAGATAAGGTCCATGTTTTGCCCAGAAAATAATTATCTTTACATTTTAATTTTTCCCCATTTGACACATAGTACTTTATACTGTATAAAGGCATTTGAATTAGAGCTAATTGATAGCGATTTTTTTCAGTTTGCTGGAAATTCTGAAAAATTAAAAAAATTAGTTTTGGTCAAACAAAACATTCTGTTTCAATTTTGACCAATTAAAAACATTTTTTCTTTTTAAAATAAAATTAAAGGAAATTTTGAAACAATCATTTGAAAAAGAAAAATCAAAATGTTTAATTTAAAAAGTGTCAAAATGAAAGATTTCAACTTTTTCAGAAATATACATATATTTGTTAACTGAAATAGTTTAGTGAAATTAACACAAATTTGCAAATGTTTTGGTGTCACTGAATTTGCATATTTTGCTGAAAAAAGTTTGTCAAAAAATTTCACACAGTTCCAGTCTAATTTTGTTCTGAGAATGTCACTCCTTGTCAAATTGGAGTCCCAACTCCATTAACTATAATTTTTGAGAGGATTGTAAATTGAAAATTTTGAAGCCCAGTCAATAAGAACTCCAAAGAAATGCGGGGTATAAAATTGTATCTTTTCACAAAGTGTGCTGAACTGCCACACTAATAAACTGTGTAAGTGTTTCCATAGCAAAAGCTGGCCTATAGGCAAATAAGGTGGAAGGTGTATTCGGTCATAGTAAATGGAGCTTGAGAAGGGTAACACTGTAAGAGCACCGATTAAAAAGACATATGTGATCAAATTTACTGAGAACAGAAGGGACTATTCTGAGATTATGGGACCTGACCATATTGGAGACTGAGAAACTAGTTACTTAAAGCAGAAGACTTGGCAGTGGTTACTGGTCACCTATTTAAGTCAGCAACCTTGCATGAAAATGTTTCATAAGTGGATGCAGAACAGGGGTTCTCAAACTTTGTTGCACGGTGACCCCCTTCTGATAATAAAAATTACTACACGACCCCAGGAGGGGGGACTGAAGCCTGAGCCCACCCAAGTCCTGCTGCCCCAGGTGGAGGTGGGGCAAAGCTGAAGCTCAAGGGCTTCGGCCCCAGGCAAGGGCCTGTAACCTGAGCCACGCCACCCAGGGCTAAAGCCCTTGGGCTTCAGCTTTTGGTTCCAGGTGGTGGG